CTCGTATAAAAAAAAAAAAAAAAAAAAATGAAAGTTGATCGTCTGAACTACAGAATTGCATTGGTTTAAGTATTTAAAATTCCTTTGTCCTGTATTTTTTGCTCAGGATTAATATTACCTTTCTTTCTTTAAAATACGTCAATTCGCAACAGTTATTTTAGCATGAACACTCGGCTATATAATTTCTTTTGTGTTTCAAGTCGTTGGTTCATTTGTTTCTCAATGTTGACTTTTTATATTTACCAAACAACATTGCCCTTATTGTTAGTTAAAATATCTTACAATTTATTCAGTTGAAAAAATAATTTGCCGACTTTTAGTTTTAAATTACTTAGGAACAGTCTTGAGAAAGTGTACACGTGGTATCTAGTAATTGGTTCAACTTTCAATAACTAGTGTTCCAGATTTTACCAATTTTGATATCTTATTATTCGTGTCAAGGACTTTTGTCAATGTAAAATTATATTTACAAGATAATAGTCGACAAGGAACATTGTAAAAATTTCACCTATCGATTCGTAAGGTTTTTTTAATTAAAATATTAGCAAATTTTTTTGTAATTCACTAATATTTCGAGGCTTCTGATAGGCTATGGTTAAGACAAGAGTCGAATGGTGGAGTTCGAACCCCAGACCTTGTGATCGGAAATCCATACTCTTAACCATTAGGGTATTGGCGCTCTAAAATTATAATCAAAATAAAACACGTTCCCGTCTCTTGCGCATGTGTCCGAGTTCTTTTTAGCCTTGTTATTCTTCCAGTGAAATGTAAAGAACTAGTTTCTCTGACTCATTGGCATCGGTTTACTCTGTTGTTTGCACATTATCTGTGTTTGAAGTATCGTTTGCTTTGTCATCGCGTGTGACGATTGATGTCATTTCGTATTAACAAATACTAGTTACCTCTAATTTATTATATTTGTAAAGTGTATTGTTATTCATTAATTGGACGTAACTACGTGAACGAAGACTTGATTTGTTTGTTTTGGAGGCAGTTACTTTTTCAGATATTTTGCTGAGCTGTTCTGAACAAAGCTAACCAGTGTGTTATAGAAATTATTGAATATCTGTTGATTCAATCTTTTGTAGTGCATGGAAACCAATTCACTGCGATTTATCTGTTGTTTGAACTCTTTGTTACTTAGATCGCCTTTATTCGTATAGTATTTTGAAGAAATGTGTTCATGGATTAAAAGTTCACGGTCAGTTATTATATTTTGATAGTGGACGTGCAATTTCAATATGCAATACTAGATGAACTTGCATGTTTTAGCCTTCACCTTTGTATGCTTCATACAAATATTTCAATACCTGACTTCCAATAGATAATTTTACATTGCAATAAAAACTCCCGTAGATATTATCTTCTTACTTATTTCTAAGTAATCTTACTGTAGTGTATGCATAAACGTAGTGTTGTTTGTCTCGAGCGTACACGCCATAAGTACATGCCAGAGAGAGGGGACGTCAGTCGATGTCAGACCTTTGAGCCGGCAACACGTGTCGGTACGTGAACGAGCCAAATATAGCACAACGAATGCTACATTGGCGACGAGGATAAAACCGTGAGTACAGAAATAAATTGTATTTGAAAAAAAAAGGAAAGAGAAGACCAGTGTGTAAAAAAAAATAACATTTCAGTAATTGATGGACGAGAGTATTGTTTAAATTATTTTGCCTTACCTTACAAAAAAAAAATAGTAGGTAATGAATTGCCAAAAAATAGCAACAATCTTCTCTGTTTACATATGATAGTTATTTGTAAAACGTGGCCTTAAGTTGTTCCCAGCCGTGAATGTTTTAAATACGGTTCGGAATGTAAACTTAACCAATTGAATATCGAAATAAGATCACAATATTTGACTATCAGAAAAACAGATTCATTGCTGTGCTCGTCCGTCTAAGTTGTTAACTACAAAGTGAACTACGATGTC